GCAATTGAAACAAGAAAAAAATTGCTAATTATATGTGTTATCTAAATTTACATTAATGAATGAATTTCTCCAATTTTTCTTTACTAAATTTTATCCCTCTTGAGAAAAAAATGATTTTAAAAATAACAAAAATAATCGACTTATTTTCAGGTCCATGCATCAATAATTTGTGCCCAGCTGGCTACTCATGCAATACCAACAATTATTGCTGCCCAATTGGTTCCGGTTCCGTACTTGGTACTATTTACAACGTTTTCTTCTTTTTCCAACATAAATAATGTATTTTATTAAAATATTTCTTTCTGTTGTAGTAAATTTAAAATTATTACTCATAAAGAATTACTCATCCAGAATCCTATTTTACATGACATCCTGAAATTGCCTTTGAATTCATTCATAAAATGGAGTAACATAAATTTCAACTATTTGTCAAAATATTTCATACTTCAAGGTCCCTGCATCAATAATCAATGTCCGGTAGGTTACGCATGCGGTGCCGGTAATTTGTGCTATTCGGTTGCGACAAGCGGATTTAAAAAACGAAAATAAAACAATAATTTCATCGAATTATGGAGTTTTTTTTTTTTTTTGAAAATAATTTATTTGCCAAATTTTTTGCATCGCCTACTTTTTTGTTTCTTCTCTTCCATTTTTTCTTTATTGTCCTGTAAAGAAAGTATGGAATAAAATTTAAAATTTAAAATTTGATTTTTTTTTAGACAAAACAATTTGTATATAAAATTTGAGCATTTATTGATTTAGTAATATTTTTTTCTCAAAATTCTCGGAAATTCTTCAATATGATAGTGTGATATCGATTTTTTTCCACTAGTTCTAATAAACAATAATACTTAATCTTTGATTATAGATTTTTCCATTCTACCTCCTACGCTCACTGTTTCCATAGATTTAATCAAAGACTTAATTATAATGCCTTATATATCACGCTAGAATCATTTGCTTTACCGTAGCAAATGTCTGCACTAATTTTCCTAATACTGTAACTAAAAGTATCAAATTAAACATTTACAGTAATTGTTCACACATATTTGCTGTAAATTCAATTTTTTTCTTTGCATCTGTCATCTGATCTATATACTAAATCTACTATTTACATAGATTGTAATGATTTACATAAGTCTAAAATAGCATAAAACAGTAACAAATTGCTAATTACCAACAATGACCTATTTTAGACTTATACTTAGTTACTATTAATTTGATTATTCCTATTGCTATTATCATTATTACTTTGTTACCTTTAAAGATATTCGAACATTTGTCGGAATTGAGGAATGTTTCCCGCAATAAAAGTAAAATTCTTTGATTTTTACGATTTAACTTAGAAATTTTGTCAATCAAAATTAAATCATCGGAAGAAATATTATCGAAACTTCGTTCATCAATAAATTCAACTAAATGATTAGCTAAAGCTATTAAATTTGATTTGAAGTTTTTGGAAACTAATTTGCATAAAAAACTGTGCATTTCATTTACACAATATAAATGTTTGAAAATTATTTTTGGTATCATTGACAGTTTACTAACTAGCGGAATACAGTTGGACATCGACTCAGCTTTTGCAGGCATCTTTTAATTACGATTGAATCAATCTTTTCTAATTAAGGTAATTCAAGTGATTGGAAACTATCAAATTGTTTATACCAGTAGATTTATTTCAATTGAAAATTATTAAAATGCTAAGATTTTTTTGTCTCTGCTTATAAAAAAAAAATGTGCTTGCAAAATTTGCCATTCACTAGAAAAATTCAGAATCTGTTTGAAGTTTTTTAAATATTTTATAAATTATTATAGGATAATCAGAATTTTATTGAAAATCTTTAAAAATTACATTGATATATACATTTTATTTTTAAATTCAAAAAAAAATTTCAATCATATGCATGCATGTATAAATGCTGATTAGAACATAAAAACTTCTTCGGCCGACAATTTATTCGAAAGTAATTCAATTTACATTTGAAGCATTAATTGCCTCGCTTGCAGGTGATAAAATTTCGATGAGTTCAGCAAAGCTACCACCAGTAAGTGGCGGTAGTAGAGGTTACAAGCTCAAAGGTGCCGAAAAAGCTACAGTACACTCATTTAATGATTTGATACCAGCACTTAAAAGCGTCCTTTATGATAAAAATAATACACAGCTTGATAAAGTACTATCACTTATGGAGGCAAAGACTCAATTGCCACGTGAACAAGTAATTAATTCCCAAAATTCTTAACGTATTTGAATAATGAACCGAACTAACAACAGAAAAAGTTAAAATGAAATGGAATTAATTTGAAGTAACGGATAAGATGAAAATGTTAATAGAACTATGTATAATAATTTAATAAATGATAAAAAGTGGAACAGAAAAGGATGGAAGTAATTTTCTTTATTTCACTGGAAAACAGAATTTCAACTTTCCACATAAATTTATTTCTAATTTGAAATAATTAGTAAAACTTTTGGGATATTCGATAAAATTAATAAAAAAAAGTTTAATGAAATCAGAAAATCTATCTTTTCTTGCTATGAAAAATAAAAACATACAGCTAGCATATGGAATGATGGGACTTATTGCTATTTATCTCATTATTGGATCACTAGCACAACTTGTATGTAATCTTATCGGTTTCGGTTATCCGGCATATGCTTCAGTTAAGGTAATCGTTATCACCTAAATTCTTGTTATTATCTGAATGCTCAGCTATGTGCATAAAAATGCTTATAGATGAGAATTTAGGTGATAACGACAAATAATAATGCTAATCACAATAAAAATTTGAATAAACATCGTAAGATTTTATTTGCTCGTTTGCTGTTTATGCCCAATTAATTCGAACAATAATAAAGTTATTTAAAATTAAAGTGATAAAAGTTAACAGCTGTTAATGAGGCAGTTAATTAATTTAAAATTTTTTAATATACTTCAGTTTTATAAATATTCAATTTGATTTTTTTTTTGCGTGCATACGTTTGAAATTTCTCGACTAATTTAGGCAATTCGAACTGAACAAAAGGAAGATGATACGCAATGGCTAATTTATTGGACTGTATTTGCATTTTATTCACTGATCGACTTTTTTGCCGAAGCAATTATGCATGTTGTGCCTCTGTACTGGCTAATTAAGGCAAATTTTACCACTAAATTTTTTATCAAATTTAATTAAAGTCTAATTCATATTTTATTGCATCATAATAGCTAACATGAAAAAAAAAATCACCCTTAATAGTTGTGAAAATATCTTTTGCGTATGTTTTCAATATTATATTTCCTTCTTTTTTTAACAATAGCAATATTAAATTTCATTATTTCTGTAATAAATTTTAGTAAATTGATTTTTCTTTCTCAATTTGATACTTCAGGCAAAATTATATCCTTTCCTCATAAAGAAAAATAAAGGTCTACCTAATTCATATTTCAAACATATTATTTTCAGGTAATATTCTTACTGTATTTATCATTGCCACAAACTTATGGTGCCCAGATTATTTACGAGAAATATATTGATCCATTAATAGCAGGAATCGAAAAAACCTTTAATAAAAAATGATCTATATCGATGGATTCCAAGCAATACTATAATTGATAAATTGATTGATTAATATGAGTACAGCAAATAAAATCGTAAATATAAACATATGAAATGCATTGCATTCAGAAATTGTGAAATAATTCTGAAATATCGAAATTGCTATGCAATGTTATTGCTACTAATCAAAAACATTTCAATGAGTTTGTAGAATATTTTACAAATAACAAAAAATTCATAACTCATTTTGTGGATAATCACATAATTGACGTGATCGAATATACGATCTATTTAATTATTATCGTTTATTTTGATAACATTTTTGTGTAAGACGTGTAAATTACTTTTACTGTACAATGTTCGTGTATTATTTTTATCATTTGATAATAATTTATTTTTATTTGATTAAATAGAAATTTAATTATGACGATGAATTTGGAGTTAATATTTTATATGATATTATTCAATTTATTATTTTGAAATTTACAATGACAATCAATACCTGTCACGAAAATTTTTTGTCGTGTAGAGAGAATTGATAATTGTATCGCGATAATCAGAATCGAAGTGTTTATTGGTTTGCTGTAGGATAAGCGAAATGTAATCACCAATTTGAGACCGCACTACCTATCCTTACCCACCTCGGAAGGAACAACACCTCGATACCATCCATTCCTACTGACCAACACATGAACATATATATATATATATATATATGATGAATATGCAATCGATAATGTCGTGCTTTAACAATATCATAGCATAAAGCCAAAAAAAAGACTAAACAAAGAAAATGAATGAGCATTCATTTATTGCCGTATGCATTTTGAAAGAGAGAGAGAGAGAGAGAGAGAGAGGGAGAGAGAGAGGGAGAGAGAGAGAGGGAGAGAGAGAGAGGGAGAGAGAGAGAGAAGATCATAAACGGTGGGAAATGTTGGTAGACAACGCTGAATGGCATACAACCGTAAGGCAAAACAATATTGTATAACAGAAATTAAATAGAACTACAAATTGTACTGATAAATTTCCTCTTGTTTAAATATTAATTATACTAATTTCTATTTATGAACGAAAATTTATATCAGTAAACTTCGGCTTTCCTGATAATATCTGTCAATTAGAGCTCCATTGTTCCATTTTAATCTTTTTTTTTTTTTTGTTTTCATTATTTGTATAATTTCTATTGATTTATTTTTAAAAATGTACGGTGAAGAAGAAAAGTCTTAAAATTTACAAAATTTTATTCTAAAATTAACATTTTTGCAATTCTAAAACAACAATTTTAAACGCATATACGTTTAGCTGTTATTGCAATTTGCATAATTGTTCGTGCAAAATGCTATAAATATTTTGATACATAATTTATTCGAATTATTTTCATTACATTCATTTCTTTCACACATCCTTCATTGTTATTCTTACGAAAATTTGAACAGTAAAAACAAAAATTAAGAAAGAAAAAAACTGGAAAGGAAAAAATGACCATAACATTGATATACCGTCAATCGCTATTTACGATACTGTTAGCTCTGAAGATAACATATGAAGCAAATTTTTTTGTGGAAAAAATTGATCAATGTAAGTTTTCAATTTGAATATTTTGGTAATCAAGATGAATGGATCATTCATCTTAATTACCAAAATATTTGCCATTCCCAAATTTCTTCTCATTCCATTGGTAAAAGAAAATAAAAAATATTTTCTTTAATAAAATTATATTATTTTTGATCAAAGTATAAGTCAAGGGAAAATTACATCCATGAACTCTTGAAATCATTAATCAGCAGAAGAATTCAACTTTTCCAAGTTTTCCAAGCAAAAATATCCTTGTTCTCTTAAATATTACAGTCAATCAATATTAAACGAAATTCGATTGACATTAAAAGTTTAAATTTAAGCAGTAGAAAAGTTAAGCATTTAAAGTAATGCTTGAAATTCTTTACAAATTTTTTTTTAAATTTCAACTTAAAACTTTGATTGAAACTTTGCAAAAAGAGTGATATTTTAAGGTCTTCGGAATCTAAATTTAAAAAAAAGAAGATGAAATTTCAACAGTTCAAATTAGATCACATTTTTTTGCAAATATAAATTGATTAATTGTTGTATTTTAATTAAATAAATGAAACATTTTTTTCACTTTCTATTATTTATTCAGTTTAACATTCTGTTAAGTCAAAAAATGAAGACAAAAAATTGCAATGTGGTTGAACTTTATTGATAAAATACTTTAAAATGCTAAAAAATTCCGCTTAATATCAAAATATGGAAATTTCATATATTTAAAAAACTTTTTTTCAGATATCATTGATGAAAAATGTCATGAAGCGATTTTAAATTGCACCAAACATTGGAATACAATTCCGTTTATTCCACCTATTGGATTATGCGAAGAGTAATGAACTATCGTCTTGTTTTTTTTTTTCAAATGTGCCAAAAAAAAAAACTTAATTTGAAACTTTTTTCTGCGAGAAAAGAAGTTTACAGTAATTATGCAATAAATCTTATGAAATCTTACCAACTATTATTATTTTATTAGATGATATATCTCATAAGTTTGTAGTAAATCGATCTAAATAGTATAATATGTTATTTAGTGAGATTTTGCATTTCCAAGAAATCGTCATTAACACTACCAATATATAAATTAGACGAACAGAAATTTTTGCAGCATTAAAATTTTTAACATTTTTAACAGCCATAATAGAATTAATATCAAATAAATCCTTGAAAATCTTACTGAATCGACTTTTCAAATAATATTTTTTTAAGTTAAATGACAGTAAATATTACTTAAACAAATATTTGTAAATTTAATTGTAATTTAAAAAATTATACTGAAGAAATATTAAGAATTCAGCACAATTTTTTGTTTCGTTGCAATGTTGTGTTTTTAATATTATTTAATTTCAAATGACATCCATTATCATTTAATTTGAGATAATAAATTTTAAACAATGTTGATTGCTATTTAAGCTAAAAAAATTATTGATGAAGCAATTAATAATGTAAAACTGATAATTTTTTTCGCTCTTCTTATTAATATTTCTTCAGTATAACTTTTCAGTTTTCATCTTTGCTTTTTTTTTTCTCTTTTTTTGAATCTCCAATGTGTGTTCATATGCCTTACAAAAAATAAGTCTTCAAGTACTCAATTTGCATGAAATATATCTGGCAAAATCACATAATGCCATAATGCTTTAGTCAAATAATTATGATTCATGCACACGAACAACATTTTATTTGTTCCTCGATATCTAAGCCAACCCTCTTTTTTATGTTTTATCTAGCTACAACTTATTTTGTAAATAAAAGCCTATCCCATATCATATCGTTATTTTACTACAAGATTAAACTTTAATTAGCATTAAAATTTAGTTGAAGTTTTGAATTTTATAATTAAAGTTTTAAACTATAATTTAGATATTTCTCAATTCAATGTATGACTGAACTGGTAGTTTCAAAAAACTGCATCGATGAACCGGGTTATGATGATTTTCTGGAACAAATTGCAGCTATAATTGGTTAATATTAGTGTTCAATTTTTTTAATGATATATAATAAAATATTCATAGAAATGATTTCCAGAAGATTGCGCTAAATCTGGAATGCGATGGACTTCGATAGCTTTGAAACAGTTGATCAAAAGAGCGATGGAGCATATTTTGTGTTATAAAACACAAAAACAATGCTATAATATTACTACATGGAATCCTCAGGAAGGAATATGCGAGTATGTCAATTCAATCGTGAAGCTATAGTAATAGCGATGAAGCTACAGTAGCATTCAATATACTACTGTAGTTTATATATTTTTGTCCGAATATTAAGCTAATCGGTCAAGGGTTATATTTTCATTTTCATCTACTAATAGATTGTAGCAAATTCAATTGTATCGATTTCATGGACGTTAAAAGTTATTCATTACCATTCCTTGACATATTATATCAATGCAATTGCAAGAAATCAAGAATAAATGTTAATAAAAACATCAGTTTTATTTCCTTTGAATTTTGCAAATTTTACTATTGTAAGCATTATTCGAATTATGTTCCATGTACCACAAAATAATATTTCAATTAATTTAAAATATTTTTAAGATAGAAAAGATTAAAATTTATTGCAGCATAAATTTTCCGGCATGCATAATGCGAACGTATGCTGAAAAATATTGCAGAGAATTTGGAAATGATTTAGAGGTTTGCTTCTATAAGTAATTGATTTCATTTTCAATGTTTGTCTAACTATTATCAATCAATAATTCCTATCTTTCAATGTTACAATTTTTTTTTAACTCGGATAATTCTCACAAATTAACATTCAAGACATTTTTAGTTGTCATATTACGTGTGCCTGTCGGATGCTACAAAATGTGGCAACAAAAGAGAAATGATCAATAAATGCGAGAAAGAATATTTAGTAGAGATAAAACGGATCATTGGAGAGATTGATCAAAAACGTCATTTAGCTGCTCATAAAAGAGAAATCAAAAAACCAATTGACGTTTAAAATTTGAACCGTCCGACTAAAATTTCGAAACTAAGTGGCTAGCACCTCTTTTAATTTGAATGATAACTCATACATAATTAATCACTACTATCAATTATAATATTTCATTAAATTTTACTGATTACTATCACTCAATTAATATGTGAAATTTTATTCTAAATCAGTTAGTTCATGAAATTTCACTGTGAATTAATTAACTCATAAAATTTGTTAATGTCCACAAAAATGTCATGATAAATATTCAAATGAAAAAAAATTGACACAATAATTTATTTATCTGTTCTTTTATTCTATGCATCGCAAAAAAAAGAACTCAAAAATATTTGAAAAAGCAGATGTATACATATTGGGCATTAATTTATAAAGATTTAAGCATAAAAAGAATAATATCTAGTTTCAAAAATTATAATGTAAGATTCTTCCATTTCATTTTTACCGTTCCATTTTATTTCCATTCCCTGTCAGAATTAGAAAGAGCTTATTCTGAAGTTTTGCCGAATGACATCCATTTGCCA